TAATGTTGAGTCACCAGCATCATTTCCAGCATGAGCAATTGTGTAAATGACATTCTTCAGAAGAGTCTTTTGGGAAGTTGTGGAGTCCATATTCTGTGATTATAGCAAGCATACCGCCAGAAGAAAGTGTTCACCTTGGCCCTGAAATTCTTTGTACGCAGGCTGTAATACGCATATCACACTGGGGAGAAATAAAACCTGAAAACACTGTTTTTCACAAGAAGTTCAGGAAGGAGGTGTGCAGAGCAATTGTTCAGGAATGCTGACGTTTAACATTGATTTTTTCCAGTCTGTTATGCCTGCAATGAGCTTGTCCCACTGGAACAGAGTGCTTATTACTCAGCCAGAAAACATTCATCTGATTTCCGACGTTGTCTTCTTTGCATAATAATGAAAAGTAAATTGCATACACCTTTTAAAGATGGCGGACGTTGGCTTTTTCCAGTTACTGCCAAATACCCACTGTGTGTACCTGCAGCACTAAGTACACCAAGAACAGTCAACAAGGTGGAACCAATTGGTATGCCCTCATCAGCCACTGTGCAGAGTGGTTTCATTCCACTGTTAACTGATCAGGGCCAACGTTTCCATCAGATAACATCTTAGCAAATCCACTGATGCAATTTCAACAGCTTCATTATCAGCAGAAGCTTTTAAATCTATATTTTGACATTTTCCTACTTCAGTCATGCCTAAAGTCGAAAATCACAAGATTAGCAACAAAACCTAGGGAACAACAGAGGCAAGTGTAGCCGGTAAGCATAACTACCCAGTTCAGAATCAAGGATTGCCACCAAGTGAGTTTTGGTGACAAGTTTACATAAAAGTAGACTGTGAGTCTGTAGAGATCCCCCAGCTGTCTTTTGGTTAGTTATTGTCAGGAATATCTTTTTCTATACTTCTACTTTCAATATTTCCATGTTCTTATGTTTCATGATGTTAGGGTGGTTTATTTTTTTTTTTTTGAAATTAAATCTGTCAATCTTTTCATTGATACATTGAGTCTATATATGCTTACAGTATCAAGATTATCAGTATATTTTGACTTGTTTTTACCAACTTACCTTTTAAATACTATTTTTTTTCTGTTTTCTTGGCTCTTTTTAATTGATTTTCTTTGTCATTATCCATTTTTCTCTAAATACTAGGGAACGTATATGCTCTACTTCTATTCTTTCAATGACTTTCTTTGAAATTTTACCAATATATTTATATTTAATTTGGCAAAGTCGGATGTTAAACATTTTTTAACGCTCCTTCTGACTAGCATTAACACCTCAGAACACCTTAGAACCACCTCCGCCAACATACATTCTTGTGTCTTAATTCTGTCCTTTTTTTTAAACCCTAAAAATTAGATGCTATAATTATTTGTTCTGACAGTGTTTGTTAGAATTTATATGCACATGTATTGGTCAGAGTTTGATATAAGAAGCAGAATCACTAGGAAAGATATAATGAGATCTGTTTTGAGGGTTTGATCTTCCTTAATTGCATCACATTTATGTGACACTGTTGAATCTGTATCTGGTCCAATGGGCAGGTAGTCAGGAATAGAAGATGGATATGAATTGGGGGAAGCAAGGACAAACAGGAACCACGAGGACAGACTGAAACTATGTCAGGCTCTCATAACCTGCAAGCCTCCAATAGAAGTGACCTACAGGTGAAGCTGGCGCCCTTTGTCATGAAGCTAAATATGCACCTGACCCAGCAGTTGGAGAAGCTGGAGGAGAATCCACAAGGGTTGCTGGGGCTGAAGACCTGGCTACTGTTGTATGCCAATGAGACGAGCCAGAAGATAAGCAAAAACACGCATGAGCTGCAACAGCATCTCATATCCTGAACCTAAAGAAATAAATAGTAAGTTGACTGCTGTTTTACTTTTGCTTCTAAATGGTATTTTATAGATGTTGTTTTATGCAATTGCTTTTTAAATCAGTTATGAGAGAAAATAAAAAGAAACACATAATTGTATTGTCTTTTATCATTACCTACATGTTGTCGTTGCTCTTGTGTGCCATCAAGTCAATTCTGACACACAATGACCGTATAGGACAGAGTAGAACTGCCCCATAGGGTTTTCTGGGCTATAATCTTTATGTGAGCAGCTTTCCATGTCTTTTCTCCCACAGAGTGGCTAGTGGGTTCCAACGACTGGCTTTTTGGTTAGCAGCCAAGCACTTAACCATTGTGCCACCAGGGCTCCTACATAATTACCTGTATTGGTGTTCTTTGATTTTTTTTTGTGTAGATTCGAATTACTGTCTGGTGTGACTTTCTTTCATCCTGAAGAACTTCTTTTAATGTTTTTTGTAAGGTAAGTCTGCTTAGTGATGAATTCTCTCAGGTTTTCTTTATCTGAGTATGTTTTTATTTTGCCTTTATTTTTTAAATATAGCTTTCTATATAGGATTGTTGGTTGACAGGCTGTTTTTTATTAAAAAAATAATAATACTTTGAATATGTCATTCCACAGCCTTCTGGTCTCAGTTGTTTCTGAGAAGAAGTCACCTGTCAGTCTCATTCGGATTCCCTTGTACCTGATGAATCATTTTCCTCTTGCTGTTTTCAAGATTTTATTTTTTTCTTTGACTTTCAACCTTTTGATCATGATGTGTCTGAGTGTGGATCTCTTTGCATTTATTCCACTTGGAGATTATTGAGCTTTTTGGATGTATAGATTGGTATTTTTCATAACATTTGGGGAAGTTTTCAGTCATTATTCCTTCAAATATTTTTCTGTCACTTTCTCCTCTTTTTGGTACCCCTAACACATGTATGTTGGTGTACTGTCGCAGCGGCGACGGTTGTTGGGACGGCGGAGACCGTAACCAAACACAACTCTTACAGAGAAGTGGGGCCAGGAGGGTCACTCTGAGGAGTCGACCCCAGCTTCAGTCCCAGGAGTTTATTTATAGTCAATACAGCAAGCAGTGAAGCAAATAACAGAACAATGGGCTTTGGGTGCGGGCAAGGGAGAAGGAATTCAGGTAAACAAGCCAATCGGTAAAGGGACAATAGGTTTGGGAAAACAAGTTGTGACAAGTCTCAACATGTTGGAGACAAGTCTCAACATGCTGTGCAGCATAGAGGCCTGTGGGGGCTGCAGTTGTCAATAGTGCAGCCATGTTTAAGTGGCATATATCCCCACAGTGTACTTAATGATGTCTGCATTTCTCTGAGACTCTGTTAATTTTTCTTCATTTTTTTTCTTCAGATTGCATAATCTCTATTGACCTAGCTTCAAGTTTGCAAATTCTTTCTTCTGCCAACTCAAATCTACTGTTGTGCCCCTCTAATGAATTTTTCATTTCATTGGTTCCTGAGAAGGAGCAGTCTTGGGCAGGCACACAGTCTTCCAGACCACGAGGATGAGTGTGATTCTATTTTTAAGCTTGAGGACTTCCTGCAAGTCCTCTCTGGGTCAGAGTAGTTCATTGTTCTGCCAGTATTTTGTCAGAAGTTAGCTTAAGTCCCTTGATCCAGTAAGTCTTCTGCACTGCTGATGAATCCGTGCATGGCTCAGGGAATGCTTTCAAGTCTACCTCCATGTTCTACTCTGATTGCTCCTGAGTGATACAGCTTAGCATACACACAGTCTTCCAGACCCCTAGAGATGAGTGTGATCTCAGGAGGGCTATTCTTGGCTTCTCTTTCCCTGGTTCTCTCTGTTAAATTTCTGGATGGCCTGCCATTCCACTTGTTGCTACTAATAGCATGGAGCTACCAGCCCCCTCTTAGTTTCTGGCCACCAAGAGCTCCACTAATTATTATTTTTTTATAACATCCCTAGGCATGAACTTTTTTAGGCTTCATTCCAAAGAAAGCCACTCCCCTCAGGCAAAGCCATCCTATGGTCTGTCTGTCCCTCTGGTCAGAATCTCTGGCTCACTACACCATAGATAGGTTGTTCTATGTGTGGGTTCTTGAGGAATGGCAGCCTCAGATCTTCTCATCTTGCCCCTCCCAGTGTGGAACCCCTCCCTATGAGTGAGCTCGGGCAAAGGCAATTATTGACCTGTCACACCTGGGACAGAGCATACTCCTGGGAGCTAGACATGATTGCCTAGAATGGCATTTCCACAACACAGGGCTGTGACAGATAAGAGATACTGTCAACCTGCCCCTGCCAGCTTAAATCATTAGCCCTAGACTAGGAGCTGAGGGGAGAGGGAGCCCCATTTTCTTGGCCACATCTACCCAGAGTAGAGCACTTAGAGTTTCCCTCACATAGAGTTGGGGGTAAGGGATGGGAGCATGTTGGGGCTCAAATGCCATAGACTCTCGTTTTTCATACTGAGATGTAATAGATTTTCTTGAACAAATGTTTCTCCATCTGCTGTATACCCATAGGATTGTTTCCAAAGACTTTAAATTGTTGGGTTTTTTTTTACCAGTTAAATGGCTGTTTTTCTGAGGAGAGGGTCCCATACTTTCCTTATACTATCGTTTTGGAAGTTCCACTTGTTTAAATTTTTATAAATTAGGAGAGAAGAAGCTAGGGCTTATAGAAAATCACATAATTTTGCTTCTCTCTCCTACTGGATGAGACCAGAGTCCTCCCCCCAACCCCTTTCTTATAGCAGAAACAACCAATATGAAGACTCAAGTCTCCTCCTCCCCTCCACAGAGCAGCAGAGATGGGAAGGCAGAAGAAAAACTCCTGATACTCATCACACAGCCGGAGAATTGGCATTGGCATGACATCAGAGGGCACCTGGGAGTGAATTATTTCTGTGAGAGAGGTGGTGAATTCCAGGAAAAGGGGAGCTGTGGGAGGGAAAAGGGGCAAAAGGGAAGCAGTCAGCAGGGGCAGGAGTATCCTGTGGGTTTCTCCACATATGTTGATAGGACAGGGGAATAGGATGGCTGGATTAGAGACCTAAAGCCTGGAATCCCCTTCTGCTTGTAAATGGATCTTGTTGATGCTCATTCAGTGGTATTTTACTTCCTCTCCTTTCTTCCCTCAAAAGACACTGCTTTCCTCAACCTTGCCTTTGAGTCAAAATGGTTTATTTCAGAGATAAAGTGTGGAAACAGAGAGAGTACAAGAGAGAGCCAAGCCCAGTGGGGCCGTGAGACTTGGACCAGGATGTCTGTACCCTGCTCCCAGGCTTTCCTGGAGGTCCTGAAGTCTCTCTTCCAGGTGTCCCAGGGGCACCTTCGCTCAGGGGACGGTGTTGTAGACCCTGTAGTCGTCCTTCTGGGTGACGTGCAGCTTCCAGGGGAAGAGGCGTTTCTGGGAAGGGAGGCCTCGGGCCTGCCTCACCATGAGCTCCACATCCTCGTCCGATAGCAGCCGAACCATATCTCCCCCCGCGTCCCGGTAATTCAGGGCGATGTCCTCCCTCTGGAACTCCCGCCTAGGTGGGAAATGTCAGGGAGATAGGGTTAATCAAAGGTCAAGAGCAGACTGGAGGGACCCCAGAAAGCATGGCCCCGGATTCTCTATCAGCCCAGAACTAAAACAATTTCCAAGGCCAACTCTTCAGACAGGGATTGGACTGGACTGTGGGACATAAAGTGACACTCGTGAGGAGTGCGCCTCTTAGCTCAAGTAGATACAAGAGACTAAACGGGCAGCTTCTGTCCGGAGGTGAGATGGGAAGGCAGAGAGGGTTAGAAGCTGGTTGAATGGACATGGGGAATCCGGGGTGGAAAGGAGGAGTGTGCTGTCACAGTATGGGGAGAGCAATTAGAGTCACATAACAATGTATGTATAAATTTTTGTATGGGAGACTAACTTGAAATGTAAACTTCACTTAAACTACAACAATTAAAAAAAAAGAAAGAAAAGAAGAGAAGCCAGGGAATTTGGGCCTAAGTGTGGGGGCAGAGAAAGAGTTCTAGGGCCTGGATGTAAGAATCAGAGAAGGTCAGGCCTTAGTGTCTGAGTAGTCCAACCTCCCATTGTACAGATGGGGAAAGTGAGGCTTAAAAAGGAGAAGGACCTTTCTCAACAAATTAGTAGCACAGCCTGAAATGTATATAAATGTGCTGAAGATCTAGGAACTGTCGAAATAGGTTTGGCTGGGTCCCTACAGAGCGGAGCAGAATAAACCCCCATGGGAGATACCTGTGTGCAGGTATTGGGGAGAATTATTTTAAGGACTGTAACTGTCTAACGTGTGGCGCAGGAAGACCGGCATTGTTATATTGGCTAGAAAAAGTAAAAATCAATCCAACCTTCCTATAAGTAAGTTGGCAAAATGGATCAGAAGCCTAACATCCTTGCAAATCCTTTGATCCCCAAATTCCACTTCTAGAACATTATCCTAAGGAAATAATCAGACAAGTTACCAAATTTCTGAACAAAGATGGTCATCATAGCATTATTTATTTAAAAAAAAAAAAATCCAGTTGCTGTTGAGTCGACTCTGACTCATGGTAACTCTATGTGTATCAGAGGAGAACTGTGCTCCATAGGGTTTCTCAGTGGCTGATTTTTTAGAAGTAGATCACCAGGCCTTCTGAGATGCCCCTGAGCAGATTTGAACCTCCAACCTTAGATTAACAGCTGAGTGTGTTCACCATTTGTACCACGCAGGGACTTCAGTATTCTTTAGAGTAGTAAAAAAAATGGAAGCTAACCTAAGTGGCCAACAAAAGGGGATGGCTGCATTAATTCCAGTACAGGCACAGGCTGGTACCTGGCAGCCAACTAAAGTAATATCTGTATATGCACACTGAAGACATCTGAATGAACATCAGATAATAAAAGTAAAAATATGGTGTGATCTCACTTCTTTATACTTTTCTGGGATTTCTGACATTCTGTTTTTATAATGAGTCCAAACCAAACCCGTTGCCATCAAGTCAATTCTGACTCATAGTGACCCTATAGGACATAGTGGAACTGCCCCATAGGGTTTCCAAGAAGTGGCTGGTGGATTTAACTGCCAGCCTTTTGGTTAGCAGCCGAGCTCTTAACTACCTTGCTGAGTGCATATTACTTTTATAGTCAGAAATGGAACAATGCTATTTCCATTTTGTAACATAACTGTCCAATACCGAGCTGATCTTGGGAGGTCGTGAGTACCCCGCTGGCAGAGGGACCAAGCCCAAGGTTTTCAGCTGAAGAGACTTTGGCTCTGGCTGCAAATCTACACCACAAACTGCGTGACTTAACTAAGTCCTTTTATCTCTTGTCAGCTCCACGCTCCTCAGCTAGTCTCTAATGGGGATGATGAAACCTACCCAGCAGGGCTGGAGTGTGGATAAAACAAGAATGCAAAATAGATGCAAAACACCTAAACCAGAAAAAAACCAAACTTGTTGCTTTCAGGTGGATTCTGACTCATGGCAACTCGTCAGTGGCACAGTTTGCACTCGACTACTGACTTAAAAGTTGGTGGTTCAAACCCACTCAGTGGTGCCACGAAAGAATGGCCTGGTGATATGCTTTTGGAAAGAAAACTCTATGATGCAGTTCTACTCTGTAACACATGGGGTCGCCATGCAAAACACGTAGCCTCTTAATAAATTGTATTTCTCCCTCTGTTCTTTTCTCCAGGGTATCTGACCCCTCCGGCCCTGCCCCCAGCCCTGCCCGCCTTACCTCATGAGCTCCAGCAGGTCTTTGAACGTTGGAGTGCTGCTAAGGTCTTCCTCCACCGCGATGTCCCTAAGGGGGCAACGAGCAGAGGCAAGGGGGTGTCAGGTCAGAAGTAGAGGGGCAGGCTTGGCCACACCACGCTGGGCCTTGACATCACATCTTGTTTTAGCATTATGGCTTATCCGGAGGACAGTGGGAGCCACTGCGGGCTTTTAAGGGAGGGAGGAACAAAGTGAGACTCAGTTTGGGTCTCAGAGCTGGTGGGGGGTGGGGGGGGATGGGCAGGAGGAGTGTGGTGGAGTGATGGGGGATGGGCAGAGTGAGGGATGGGCCAGGAGGGTGGACCAGCCCCTCCCTCCCAGCAGGCCACGAACTTGATGGTGCTGATTGTCTCTTCATAGTAGTAGCAGCGCAGCCAGTTGGTGAGGTCGTCTTCCTCAGGGAAGTCCTTGAGGATCTTCACGAAGGACAGCGGGAAAATGCCGGTGGTTCCCCGGACAGTGCCCTGAGGAAAAAGAGAAGGGACCACCCGGTTGGCATGTGGAGGGGCAGCAGGGCCGTGCCTCGGGGTGCCTGGCCCTTTTGATGGAGAAAGGCAGAGGAAGTCTGTGTCCCCTTATGTAGAGGCAGGAAAAAAATGAGCAAATTCCCCAAGTTGTTTACCCCAAGAATTGCATTTTTGTTATAAAATGGGTCAAGATCTGAATTTACCTAGAATTTACCTAGAAAGCTTTTTCATTCATTCATTCTCTCACTCATTCATTTATTCATTCGACAAAGACTTGATGTGAACCAGCTATGTAGCAGTTCTGGACATACAACAAAGGTGAAAGTCCCCGTCCCTCATGGGGCTTCCATTCCGAGGAGGGAGACAGACAATGCCGGTAAACCCATGAACTGAACAGTGAGTCAGATGGGGTAGGTGTAAACGGGGAAAACTGAACAGGAGAGAAGGAGAGTGAGGGGTGGGGGAGGGCCTGCTGATGGTTCCAACACATTCATTCATTCCACGGATACCACAATCACCTACTCTGGACAAAGAAGTCTGAAATCCATTTATCCAGCCCAGACCTCTCTCCTAACTCCCAACCAAGAACCCAGCTCTGGTTGTACTCTGGGCACTTTTTCTTTTAATCCTCACAACCACCGTATGGGAGATGTAGTATTTACTCCCCATCGTACAGATGTATAAACTGAGGCTCAAAGTGTTCCTCTCCCCGCTCCCCTGCCCCTCTCCTTAACCAGCATACTGATACACAGTACTTTCCAGAAACAAGAAGGCAACAAACATTTCCTGTTTCTGAAGAATGACCCAGAGACACCCCTTTGGTCGCTATAAGAGCTGCTGAGTTCCTGAGACAGAGCTCCAGGACTGGGGTGAAACCGAAACTGCCTTGGGTTGGCTAGGCCAATGGCCCCGTGCTCCCCTCCAGTCCCTGTACACCAAGGACCTGACCCTTCTCCTATTGGCCTTAGGGCCCCTGGGGGCTAGCCCTGCCTGGGGACTTGTCCCAGGAGCACTGAGGAAAAGGAATCTTGCTAACAACAATAGGCCCTAATACGAGGCTGATAGTGGCCCAGGGCCTCCCAATCGCTGATCTGTTTATCTCCTTTCACCAAGTCATTGTAGACAAAGCAATAAACGAGACAGGCCCCAGCTTCCAAGAACTTCCAGTGGAGGGTCTCGTCTGCATCCCTCAATGAGCCTGATGCCAGGCACCCAGCGCTTTCTATGGATCAAGTCCTGCACCTCCACCTCTTTTCGTTAACCTTTAGAGAAACCCTATGAAGAAACAGTCAGTGTTATCTCTGTTTACAGAAAAGGAAATCAGGGTTGAGCAAGTTTCCCAAGGTTGGAAAGCTAGCTCAAAACAGAGCTAGGTTATGACCCCAGACAGGCAGACCCCAGAGCTCTCGCTCTTAATTACTATCCTTTCTTGCTGGCTACAGGGGGCCCTGGTGGTGCACTGGTTGCACTCTCAGCTGCTAACCGAAAGGTTGACGATTTGAACTCACCAACCACTCTGCGGGAGAAAGATGTGGCAGTCTGCTTCTGTAAAGATTAAAGCCTTGGAGACCCTATGGGGCAGCTCTACTCTGTCCTAGAGGGTCATTATGAGTCGGATTCGACTAAACGACAACAGGATATCGCTGCCTGCAAGGTACATAATGTTACTCCCACGTTATAACAAGCGGTTCTCAACAGGAAGTGAATGTCTGGAGACATATTCGATTCATAAAACTGAGGAGGGGAGTTGCTACTGGCATCTAGTGGGTGGAGACCAGGGATGCTGCTAAACATCCTATAATACACAGGACAGCACGCCACAACAAAGAATTATCCAGCCCCACGGGTCAGTAGTGCCAAGGCTGAGAAACCGTGTTACGGACTAAGAAATTAAACTCAGTAGGTTAACAGAGTTGCCTGAAGTGCCCTGTTTGTTGGAATTAGAACTGAAGGCAGGTGTATCAGCTCTGGAGTCTTCCACTCCCACCACACACCTTTCCTCAGGTTCCCCACTCCCACTCCCATCCCACCACCACCCCCGTACCTCCAGGACTATCTGTTCCCTAAAGTCTTCGCCAACCCTCCCTGGCCCCTGCCCTCAGCCACGCTCAAGTCCACCTCACCTCCAGCCAGTCCTTGTTGATTCGACTGAGAAGGAAGATCACTTCTCCGGCTTTGAAATTCAGCTCCAGTTTGCTGTTTCCAGTGAAGTCAAACAGGGCCTAGGAGGAGCGGGGCGAGGAGGGAGGGAGGGAGGGAACAAGCCGTTTTACAGACTAGGAAAGAGGGACCAGTCCCTGGAGAAGGACGTCATGCTTGGTAAGGTAGAGGATCAGCGAAATAGAGGAAGACCCTCAATGAGATGGACTGACACAGTGGCTGCAACAATGGGCTGAAACATGATTGTGAGGATGGCACAGGACCGAGCAGTGTTTCGTTCTGTTGTACATGGGGACAGTATGAGTCGGAACTGACTCAACAGCACCGAACAACAACAAAACTGAGGTTCAGCTAGGATGAGTGATTTACCGAGGCCACCCCATTTGTTAGTGGAGGAGCTGGGATTTGAACCCAAGTCTCCCTAACTCCAGAATGGCGCTCTTTCCAGCCCAGAGGGGAAGGGATGCAAACTCTCTAGACTGTGTACCTTCCCTGCCCTCCCCTCCCTTCTCCCCGCCAGCCTCCCTAGAGGCCTCCTGTGGTCTACCGGGGCACTGGCCACATTCATTTTGAACTGCCCCTTTGTAAGTCTGTGTCCCTGGGGACTGTGAGCTCCTTGGAGACAGGTCCCTTGTCTGATTCATCTCTGAGGCTTCAGTCCCCAGCGCGGTGGGGCTGGCCCCGAGGAGGCCTGTGAAAGCGTGCCGCATGAATGCATGAGTGGACGTCTTGTCTTCGCCTCTGTGTTTGTATCGCATTCCCGTCACTCAGCTGGGGTGGGGTGGGGGACCCTCAGTGTCAGAGGCTGAGCTCTAGCCCCTTACTGCCCCCACCCCCAACGTCCAGCATCATCCTAGACACACAGCTGGGCCCAGCATAGAGGGGCTAATGGTTGACTGGCAGAGCCGCGACTGCGGCCAGGAGGTGGAAGGCCAGGAGGCCTGGCCTGGGTCGGGTACCTCTGCTCGCGGTGCTGCCATGTTGTCAAAGCTGGGGCCTTGTGGGGAGACGCTCTTCCTGTGGAGAGAGAAGAGGGGCCTGTCAACCCACCCGATTCTGTCAGGGCCTGGCCCCCTGCTTCTCTGCCCAGAGGAGACCCTCATAGGGGAAAGAGAGGCAGGGGAGGGGAGACGCTAAAAAACTCAGCCACAGCTGCTTCTCTGGGCACGTCATACTTGTCTCCACACAGAGTTCTCACAGCCACCGAGGAGACAGGAATTGCTATCCCCACTTCATGGACGAGAAAGCAGAGACTCAGAAAGGCGGTAGGGAGGGGGATACACATTTGTTTTGTGCCTATAACTTGCTAAACCCTTCACATTTTCTACTCTCCATAACTAACCTTTGAGGTAAATGTTATTACAGTGTTCTAGTTTTTCAGCTGAGCAAAACTGAGCCTCGAGGTGGAGGTCTATGTGACTCGCTCAGGGCCCCACAGCTGCCCTGGTGTTCAAAATGGCTTCTGCTTTGATGTCAAAGCCTGCCTGGCCTCAGCCACCTTAGACTGCCAGGCCCAGGGGATGCCCACAAATGTTTCCTGGAGGAAGGAGAGGGAGCCGCTGGGAGGGAGGTCAGGGGCTCGGGAACACTTTCCCTGCTTTTCCTGGAATTCTGAGCTGCAGAAACCTTGGTTTTACAGTGTTTTAGATTTTCAGTGTTTCCTGCGTCAGCTTGCTTAAAGGGGGCAGGAACGGAAGCGTGTTCTTTGGAGTAAGGGCTTACAGCAGCCCCTAGGGGCCAGCGTGATACAGCAGGAGCCACAGCCGTTCGTGGAACAAAAGCAAACCAGGCGCTCTGCATTCCGAGAGAGGCTCAGGGAATGTTCATGGCAGATTCAGCGGCTCCTCCCTCCTCTCCCTACACCCATCCTCTCCAGGCACCCAGACCCCTGAGGTCAATCCCAAGGGGTTGCTGTGGCACCCAGCTCTCGCTGGCCAATGTCCCAGCACTATCATCCAGTCCTTACTGTCACACGCATCAAGACATGCCCTCCCTCTGCCCCTCCAGGCCCTACTCTTGATTTTCCAAGCTCATCTAATTAGCTAAACCATCTTGGATTGTTCCGGAATAGAATAGACCCGTTCTCCTTCCCTCCTTCCAGGGAAAGAGGTGCCTTTCCAACAGAGGCCTCATTGCAAGGACTTGGCCCAGGGCTTAGCAGGGTGAGGCTGGGCTGGTACACTTACACTTTCCGAGTGTGTGGGCGGAGCCGGCGGAGCGCCTGGGGCACCTGCTCCGAGTCATAGGATGACTGGTAAAAGAAGATCCGGACATCGTCGTCCATCAGCACCGAGATGGGCAGGCTGAGCAGGTTCTGCGTTTGGGTGGGGTGAGGTGGTCAGCAGAAAGATCTAGGCATCCCAGCCCAGCTCACTTTGGTCCACCTCTCCCTACCAAGGCATCATAGGCCCAATAACACAAACAAGAAGTATATTTTTTAAATCTTGACATGTTGAAGGTAAAATTTCCCAAGCTTTCCTCCTGGGTCCAAGGTCAACAGGGGGACAACTGGCTTGAGCAGTTCATTTGGAAAAGACATAAAGGTCTCCAGAAATAACCATGATGTATGCGATGGCAGGTAGTGTGATGTGGTGAAGGCCCTACCAGGCACTAAGTGTCTCATGTGTGCTACCTCGCCCACCTCAGAATGACCTTGGGAGTTAGGGTCAGAAAGGTGAAGGGGACTGCCCAAGGCCACACAGCTAGTAAGTAACCAAGCTAGGGGCACCCAGAGCCGTCTGCTGTCAAAGCTTATGTCTTAGCTCAAGATGAGACAACAATGGATCGAGGGTTCCCCAAACAATTCAAACTAACAATAGTTGGTGGTATTATAGCTTAAAAACTGCTTCCTGATACTTTATCTCATCTCACAGTTGAGGATACGGAGATACAGAGACTCAGACAGGGTGTGTCTTGCCCAGGGTAGCAGAGCTAGGAAGTGGTGGGGTTGGAACTCGAGCCCTAGTCTCGTCACTCTACTGCATTGGTTACTTGGGGGCTGACACACCCCCTCACCAGGGGACAGGCTGGATTTTCGTCACTCTCACAGGCCTTGGCTAGGCACTCTTGTGTATTCTCCAACTTACAAATTGTACGCATCCTTATGAGATGGGGACACAGAGGAAGAAGCAATTGAAGGTGGTCAGGAAAGGCCTTCCACCAATCAGAGCCATCCAAGAAAGGGACAGCATTCCTCATGAGGTGGTGAGTGCCCCACCACAAGAGGCATGTAAGCTAAGGCTTCCAGAAGCTGGGGAGGGAAGCTCTCCTCACTGCCCAGGGGCGTCCTCATAGACAGCTGAAGGCTCCACCTCCTCTTTGGCGCTTACGGCTGGAGAGCATGGAGCTAGCGGTCTCTGTAGTCTTGGCTATGATGTTGACTGGCTGGGTAATTTGGGGCAAGTTGCCCATCCTCTCTAGGCCTTGGATTTCTCCCCTATGAAATGGGACAATGTCTACAGACCTCTGGTCTCCCAGGAGTAAAGTTAGGAACTATTGAGAAAAGGATGGGGAAATGTTTTGTAAACTGTGAACCTGCTCCAAGAATGTGAAAGATCCTGACTCCAGCGCGAGTAGGGTCGGGAGGGCCAGAAGGACTGCAGAGGAGATGGGAGGAGGGTGGAGGTGGGATAGAGGAGGTGGCCGACCTGCTCTCCTCATTAGCTGCAGAAGTCCTGGGCTCTGAGCAACAGTGGGCACTCAAGACAGGGAGGGACGCCCTGTGGGTTCCAGCACTGGTGGTATCTTCCCTCATGGGGGCGCTGTGACAGCTGCTTGCTCAGAGTCAGCAAGCTATTGAGTGTGAGAGCTGGGATTCAATCCCAGGTGCAGCGTGGCTCAGTCAGCTATGCCCTTAAGCCCCGCTCTGAGCTGCCTCCTGCCCGTACAATAGTTCACCCAGCTCCCTCAGCCTGGTCCTTCCCGGGCTCTGTATTCCCAGTTCCTGCAGATGGAGTTTCCTGGGCCTCCGTGGATTCTCTGCTGGGGCTGGGTGCCTCTGAAGTTGCAGCACCCAAAGCCCAACCCAGCATTTCCGGGGTGGGGGGCAGTCTGTGCCTTGCAGGGCTTGGCAGGTGGCCCCACCGGGCTCTAGAAACTCTGCAGCGTCTATGAAGGTAGCCTTAAATTCAGAATTCCTCAGAACACATCCTGTTCTTCTCGCCAGGCCTTTAGGGATTTGAAAGCGGGGGACCTTTGGAGCCCCAGTTCCCAAAACCCTTCCCTGAAGATGGTACCTGCCATCCCCCAACAGCCCATGCCCTCCCAGGTGCTGAGACTGGCATGCCCCCATGATACCTTCATGTAGGCATTGAGGGCGGGTATCCGCATCTCAGCTATCTCCTTCTTCACACCCATGTAGACTTTGGCTGAGGAGAGGCAAAGAAAGAGCCGTTCTGGAAGCTAGGCTCGGGGTGCCCACCCAGGCAGCAGCCCTAGAGCAGAGGCTGGCTTGGAGCAGGAGAGATGCCCCTTCACCTGCAACCCAGGGAAGGAGGAATGGACGGGTGTGAGCAAAATCAACCCTGAGGGAGGGAACGAGAGGTGAGCCATGGGGGCCAGCTTTGGTTTGCTTTGTGGGGAATGAAGGAATAGGAACCACGTTCACTTGCTGAGAAAGAGAAGTAAGAGGGAGCCGAAGATGGGGTTTGGAGCTTGAAGAAGAGAGGTTCGGGGAAGGGTGATTACCCGTGAATGTACTCAGCCTGCAGGGCACAGAGGGCCGCTGCTGAGATCCGCCCCCCGCAGTAAGCCCACACCTCTTTGGGGTTTTCTCCTGCAGGGATCAAGCAGCAGGGTCCAGGCAGGAGCTGAGAAAGCAGAGGTGAGAACTGTCGGTGGTGCACACAGGACCTTTTTGGGGAGGAAGGAAAAGGAGGCAAGAAAGCCACCGGGCTGTCTTAAAGCTGAGGTACAATGCCCCTACAGTGTCCTGGGGAACAGGAGAGGCCACCAGAGTCTGGTGGCAGCTGACACTGCGAAGCTAGAGAGAGGGTCTTCTGAAAAAAGGCAGGAGGTGAGGAGGGCTAGAAGATGGGTCGCTGTGTTTAAAGCGGGAGACACAGAACACCTATTTTGAGGGACCAAGGCCAAGTGCTGACATACTCCAAACTGTGGCCTCGGTGGGGGACGGCTGAAGCAGGGTGGCCATGAAGGTCACCAGAGTTGAGGAGGTTAAGGACTGTGAGGCCAGAGTGCCAGAGGTGAAGGTCACAGGGTGACCCACAGAGCTGGGGCGGGCAGCCCGTGACTGCCAGGAGGAGGGCCATGGACTAAACAGATGTGTTCACATGGGGCTAAAGAGAAGAAAGGAACAGTGTCAGGCGGGGCTGGAAGGAGAGGCTGACACAGCTGTGTCCTGGGGGCAGCAGAAGCCAGCTCCGTGGCCGGACTGGGGGCTGGCCGGCCTACCTGGGAGGGTGGGGAGGCTGCAGGTGAAGGGGCTGGTCTTGTTCTCTGGCCCGAACCGCTCCTCCAGCTTGGTCTGCAAGGCATAGAACTGGCGGTAGCGGCGGTAGATGAGGTACTTGGCTCCCCCTTTCGTCTTCACCTCAATGACAAAGACCTAGAGAGGACAGAGGAGAGGGCCTCAGAGGCCAGGGGCAAAAGACAGAGGGCAGAGGTTCAGGAGTCAGAAGGGGGCGGGTTCGGAGGTTCTAGGGATGGAGGAGGCTTTCTCAGCCTCGGCGCTATTGACATTGGGGATGAGTAATTCTTTGTTGAGGGGGCTGTCCTGTGCACTATAGGGTGTTTAGCAGCATTCCTGGACTCTACCCACTAGATGCCAGTAACAAGTCGTGACAATCAAAGATGT